AAAAAGAAGAAAAAGGTATTCTCTTAATAGATCGAATTTTTTGTTATATATGACACTATGATGTAAGATCATATGTTACATCATGATATACTAATTAGATATCTTCTCACGTATTTCTCTCCTATATATGAATAATTATTTACAATTAACTTAGGTCATAATCTGTGGAACGTGCGTAAATGAGAAGTTCCGTACAATCTCGTTATAGACTTTCTCGAACACGTCGCAAAAGAAACATTAGATATTTTCGTATCGCACACTGGCCAAAAAAATATATATATATTCTCATATATATATCATTTAATGCTCGTCTCTATACATTCAAAAATCACAATATCTGCGACGCCATCGAAAAACGACCTACAAAAAATGATCGTTTTGAGTCATTACGGTCGCTTAGTAATACGTAACGAGAGAGCAAAGTTAAATACGCAGACGCAACAAAATGTACATTCTATAGGTTTTTCAATAGTTCTAGAATAATTCTACTTAGCAGCCTTGTTTTATGCTAAATAAAATATAAATACCATAAAATCATGGAGTTGCTAGAGTTAACAGATAAAACTAATTGAGCGCGTGAAAGCTCTGTTGTAAGATTGGCAAAGAAACTTTCAACCTCCTACACATCGCCAAGTCTTCTAATACAGATAACTAAAGATGCAGATCAATTGTCGCACACGACGCACCGATTTTTAATCGAATGGACACCCATGAATTGATCGCTAGTAACGCGAGATAAATGTGCTCCCTTACATATAAAAATATCAGCAAAAATACAACATCCTCAATAATTTATTTGTCAATTATCTACATTTATCTAAATTATACATATATATGATTATATATGTATAATATATAAAATTTATTTATATATATATATGCACACATATACATATTTATTTAATTTTGTGATTTTCTGCCACACATGACATAGCACTCTATAAATCGTATACTCGTCAATCTCGCAGGTTTATACGTACGCATTATTTAGTCCGCAAATAGCGTTCGATCTTCGTTTTTGCTACAGTTTTTCTTTTTATCAATCAATTCGTCATTATAACATATCTCATTATAAAATTACTTTCCGTGAGTCATTATAGCGCGATATACTCATAAAAACGCCGCTCAAACTTTCTCATCGCCGCGAAAGAAAGTCTTACTTCGGTATACATAACATTATACAGAATTGATTTTCATACATACAGTTATCTTTTTGGATGGCACTGTAGATTCTGACTTTACGCTTAAATAGTCGTTTAGCGTATCGGTTTCACGCTCGTGAAAATTATCTTTAAAGATAATAATATTAGCCCGGTAAACAGCATATCAAATGTAATATCGAAGCAAACAACGTTTTCCTTCCTTTAAACGAATCCTGCTCAAAAGGGCACTGTGGAGCTCCCGCACGATATATAGTATCTTTCAGCAAATTCAATAAATAATTTATGAAACTCCATTACACTCTTTTATCTAATATTCCACTAAATTAAAATTAAATCCAATCACAAGAGTAGGCCATTTCGTGTACCTACACAACGCACACACAGGCATACACACATGCACACGCATTCTCTTTATCCTGATTTTTAAATATATATTAAACATATAAATCTACTCCTGCTTCTTCCTTATTTCAACTCTGCATTAAGCTAAACGGAACTAGAATTAAATAAACCTCAGCTCATATCTCCGAGATCCTGCACGATCGTCGATCCTGTCGTTATTCGATTTCACAAGCTGAAAGACCTTGTCGAAGCTTCACGCTACGTTCCATCTTCGAACGCATTCTCTCGCTAGTAGGTCTTCCATCTCCATTTAATATTCTGCGCTGATTCTTCTTCTCTTGCGAGTGTATTCTTCTGTATTAGCGTTTCGGAACTTCTCTTCATCCTGACATCATTCCTAATATAACTCCATCCTGATATATTCTGCCAACTGTTTATCTTCTTCTTTTTTTCTCCTACAAGTGTGCACGTACTTTTGCTTTCACTAGTCATGTAACAAGTCGATATTCGGTCTAGACAACGAGCGGTCATCAATCGTTGTTCATATCCTTCAATTCGGTATATGCGATTCGCTTTCGGTACAGATTGCTACCACTCGATAGCACGTTCCTCTTGTTTGTCGACGGACCGGGCGTGTAATAATGTCGTCTCTTGTACATAACCAGCCTGTGAAAGAAAAAACTAGTTAAGATATCAAATTATATATATATATATATATATATATAATTTACGAAATGAAAGCAACACTCGTTTAATGTGTATATACACACACACACACACACACACACACGCGCGCGCGCACATTGAACGAGTGTTGCTTTCATTTTGTAAATTATGACTTATTATAATTAACAATAATGTCAATCATTTATCATTATAAAGAAGTAATACGATATTAAATAACAATCTTTGATTATCGTCCATCTCCGTGCACTGTTTTTTTTTTGTAATTCTGTGATCAGATTTCTATTACAATTATTGTAATTAATGATTAATGATACTATAATTATATTGGAAATATACCAAAATATACAAAATTTCTTTATAAAAGTGCTGTGCGCAGTTAATTTTTTCAAACATCAAGATGGTATTTTCCTGTGAAACATCTATCTTTCTTTCGATTAAAAAAAAAATACAATTTATTAAAAACACAAAACAAATTTTATTTTTCTCTTATTTTAAAATGTTAATTCAATTCCAAATACAGATCCTTTTTGAAATGTCATCAAGTTCTCATAAATTTAAAAAGCCTCATTTTTCACAGGAGCAATCTCACTTTCACATTTTTATCGCGATCGAAAAAATTTATCACAATTTCTGTTTCTTCTTAATTTATTATATCAATAAACTAAGTAATCTTCCGCTCTCGAAAATAATTCCTTCGCCTACGCGGTACTGCGCAATGTTTGTTCGTCTTCGCATCTTTATAAACACAAACGACTCGGTGAACATGGGATTACCGCATTTTATCAGTTCAATCGCAGGTCCTTGAGCACGATCTAACGCTGGCAGGAATTTGCGCAAAAAGTTTGAATGGCAAATGCAGTCACGCCTACATCACGTGTATTGTTCACTGACGGCCATTCGTTTCCTTCTTTTTCTCTGCACCAGCACGTGTGCTGGTGCTAGCAATTGTATCGATACATTCACGGGAGATACTGATAGCTACATGCAATTAGTAGCTTCATCACATCTGTTGCAATAACGTCGAAACCACGGTGTTCTTCATGTAATAGTGACATATATCGGAGTGTCTAAAAATTCGCGTTATTCTAATGGCAGAAATATTGTAATTAACGCGAATAAAGAAGTAAGGCTTTATTATTTCTTGTGTAGTATTTCTTGTTTATTTTGTGAGTATTATAGTTCCTCCCTCTAAAGAAAAATTTCATCCGAGGTGTATTTAATTTTGAGGAGCCTAAAGTCTAAATACTTCATTTAAATCGTAATTAAGATATTTACTAGATATTCATATAAGTAATTAAAAAATCAACGGCTTGGAAATTTAGCCATATTTTAAACTGCGTATAATTTTCAAATTTTTTGCCGGTTGTAAAATCCCTATTAAATTCCTATTAAATCCTTTAATTCAAGAAAAAAACTTGATTCTGCAAAAATTTATATCTTTATTATATTGAATTTCTTCTTTAAATTAAATTTTTTTTAAAGAAAACGTCTTCGAATACTTCTCTGCCTTCAGATATATTTTGGGTCATCCTGTATGATCATCACGACTCGAATGTTATCTACATAATTACTATTAATGGTACACTAAGTTCCACCGAAGGTGCGCGAAAACTTCCACTCGCGGTGGAATGATAATTATTGCTGTAACAAAAGATTCTTCGAATGCTATCCATCGAAAGGAATATCCTTGTGTGCAAATTGACAATGCATTCTTATGCAAACATTTAAAAATATACACACATCTGTATTTAATTACACATAAAAAAACAAATACAAATTACTCATACATAATTACGTTTAATTTCTGGTATCGTGTTAATACCGGAAAATACTGGTTTAACGAATTCATCTCGTAAATGCAATTCCTTCATAACTGATCCTTGACAAATCCGGTTGCTCATTAGGCGTAGACTTACCAAACAGAACGAAGGAGCGTATTTATTCGATCTAGTTTTGACGAATGTATCTGGAATGTTTCTTTTTTTTAAGTAATTATTATTTTTAAGTAATTACTTTACGGATATGTTACAGAATAACGTAAACGGTTGCATGCAATACTCGGTACATCGCAGGATGGGTTTACACATAGACATTCGATTTATTTATTTTATTGAAGTTATTGTTCAGGGAGCTGGATTTGGATGCAGGGAGCATGCATAACACATTGCTTCGCACAAACAGCTGTGGGAAAAGGAAAAATGGTATCCGATTAATAAAAACAATTACCTCGAGTATTGTTATATAATTACGACTGAAAAAGAAACCGTGCAATATTATTTGGGGCAAGACAAACGCGAGTTTTGTATACACTCATGCGTTATTAAATGTCGCTCAGCTATAATAAAATTCTAAAAAATGGCGGTATTTCTTCTAGATTAAAAACATAAAATAATCGGCGGATAATTCATTAATGCTGTTTGTGCGCTAATTAATAATTTTACAATCAAATAAATTGTCAAGTTGTGCCAATATTTAAATGTATATGTAATTGTATTAGAGATCTTCATATTTTACAAATAAACTATCTTAAAGCAGTTATGATAAACTTTTTTTTTAAATATGTTTCTTAAATTTCCTATATTCTTTATTTTTCTTTAGAATTTATTCAATAGATTCGACGAATGCAGACATAGTAATTTTCGAGATCATAGTTCTAATATTTTGCTCCAATATTTATAAGTATATTGCGTATATGTCGAGCTCACAAAATTACTACAAGGGGAATGATTGTCGCGAATGGGCAAGAGAGGATTATAAAATATAGAGGCGGTAATTCGCGAATTGAAAGCAAACTATCAGTCATCGTTATGGACTGTCAACCGTCAACGGTCGTTCGTTCATTGTCCATCCTCTCGCGCTTTCCTCAACTCGTTTAATACTTCGTGTTATCCGCCCGTTTTAGATTCAAGTTATATATAAGGCACTCTTCGAGTAACGACGAAGATTAGAGGAGTAATTTTGGCGACGCCGAGCCTTCACGATGTTGTTATTGCGACTCATAAAAATAAGATAGCTAGGCGCCGTACGCATAACTGACTAGATGAGTCCACTCGTCTCTCAGAAGAAAGAGAGAGAGAGAGAGAGAGAGAGAGAGAGAGAGAGAGAGAGAGAGAGAGAGTGGAATCTTTCCCGTTGTATCTTTTATTTTGTAACTAGTCTTGCTGCAAACTGTTCCCTTAATTTTTTCATTTTCTCACTTTTGTACCTTTCCTTTTTCCTGTCAAGGAACCTTATTCTGAGGAATCGGTCTCCGGAAAATCTTGGAGACATTGATATTTTTGTTTGTTACATAGATATGCGCGATATAATAATTTATCTATCCTAATAATACTAGTACAGTAGTGTATCAATGGCTAATCTCAAAATAAAATATAATATACAGCGATTTATAGTATACGTCGTAGAAACTAAATTCGAGATATCGCCTGCGGTATTTTTAAAGTTTTAGATCTAAAGATAAAGAATAAATTCCTGCAATGGAAGGATAATAGAACATAATTCGACCAGCGAAGTAGTTCATTAAATGATCACAGAATATACCTCATAACAGCGCACGTCTGATGGAGCGATTAAGTAAGATTGTCTAGCGATAATAGATCCTGTCTACGTTAGCCGTCAGTGAGAAGGACCAAGACATTCCTATAAATAATATAACGACATAATTCCATAACTAAAAAGGCACATATTTGCAAATATGTTTAGGCATACTGGCGATATACTCTTAGAGACAATCTCAGAGAAAATATGTACTACAGATATTTTTAGTAAAATAATCATAAATTATGAGGAATGTAAAAAGTGCGGAATGGTAGATACAATATCATATGATAATAAATTTAAACAACAGTACGATATCAATGACATATCGCAAGTAAGGCAACAAAGATGCATGTCCCTTCTAAAATGTTACTTAAATGCAAATAATATCATTAATATATAATATATCCTGTGGCTTATAGAATATTCTTTGGAAGCATGTGTGGCAAAAGAATAAAAATGACGCTGTTTTCGAGGCCCTCTCGCACACTTGGAGTGTCTTACAATAATATAAGAAGAACAGTGCCCGCACTTGCTTCTATTTGGTCCTTTTATACCCGTTTTACGCTCTCTTCATCGATCGTTCAATTATTAAATCATACAAATCAAACGAGCGAGAAAAAAGAGTGAAAATATTATTTAGATCAATTTCCGTTTCTTCAAGACTGGAAGTATCTACTATCATCGATCGATACGTATCGATTTTTCTAATGTATCTTTTCGCGAATTTTATGCTAGCTGATTTAGGTCACATGGATGTCTGAAACAGAGAGCAAAAAATATTCTTTTAATGTGAGTAAGTCTTTCCCATTGTTCTTTTTTTTTTGTAAAGACAAATCTATCAGTTCGACACTCACCTCACCCTATAAATCCCGCTGCTAATGTTATGATGATACCTAGAAGCCCGGTTAGCATTTGACCAGCTGGTGAAATGACTGGCGGTGCAGACGCCGCACTCTCAACCACGGCGTCTGCCGAAAAGTAATCCTCCGCGGTCAACCTGTCACCATACTTATCCAACAATGTCATAACGAGTCCATTTGACCAGCCGAAACCAAGTTGTACTTCGTACTCACCTCCACTACCGTGGCCACCCGAGACGGTCGCGTCGTACTGCAAACAAAATTCTATTTACTCTTATTTTAGAAATTTATTCAGAAGACAATTGCATAAACAATTTAGAAAACATTTTTTTTTATCGAACGATTTAACATTTTCGACATAATAATTTTATTTTTTAATGCGACATGAGTTTTTTTTTTCAAAATCGCAATGTACACAAATTTATATTCTTTCATTTCATTTATATTCTTTCTTGTTTTCGTTTTTTTTCATCAGAACCTTACTTTACCTTTTCGTACATGCTGTGAGTCTCATTGAAAGCCTTATAATTGCTACGGACCCATCTCTGGCTAATCTCGTAGGCTAGTCTCTGCGCCCATGGATCGCCTGTGTTATTCAACGACATGATGAAGAAATACTGGAGAGGCGGCCAGGCATTGGGATAGTCCCATTGTTCACCGGAATGTTCTAATGTCGTCGGTATGCCGCCCTGATTTAACATGATCTGATTCTTTTCGAGGTACTTAAGCACCTTCGACACGTATTCACTTCTCTTAGAAGTGTCATAGCAGTCCGTCCAGAGTGGCAAAATATTAGTCGGATAGAAGTAGTCTCGCTTGATGTCATTCAATATATCGTAGTCCAACCAAACACCCACCTCCTCGTGCCACAATACCATCTTGATCGCCTCTTTCCATTTCTCAGCCAAGTCATCGTAATATGCGGCCTTTGTCTCATTACCCATCTGACGATTGTACTGCGCCAGCAGTATAGCGTTTCGATGTAAGAAGGTGTTCAGATCGACCGGAATTATAGATCTGGTCTTGAGATTTGTTAGATTACCTGAAATCCATCTGGCTATCAGCCTCTAGTTCTCTTTTACAAGCTAAGTTGCTCTTACGAGAAGCCGTTATATCGAAGCGCAATTCGTTACGATCACTTTATAAAATAAGTTAAATCGAGTTTTCAATTTCATTATGATGGAATTGAGTGAGGTAGGGGCAGTTTAAACGCTGTGCAGAAAAAAACGACACGATCTAACGATTTCAGTTGCAATACGTGCAGTTTTTGCGAAAATCAATTTTAGAGTACCGATGCCTCGAACATTGCTTTCACTTAAGAAACGAGCTGGAGGGCCTTGAAGTGCGCGCAGATCTCATTGAAGATACGGTGTTTAATGTGGAATAGCACGATAATTGTGGGTAATGCTGCTCATGTATGTGTAATACGTCATTATAGCTTCGGTTCAATCTATTAAAAAAATTTATGACGAACAAACAGGATTGCGCTCTTAGCTTTTTTTAGTGTACGATAGTAGTTTCTAATGGGCATCGTGGATAATCAAAGAATCTACACGCAAAAGAATTATTTAATGCGGGATTTCCTATATTTATACATATTATTTTATATATATTGTTTTATACATATTATTTTATACATAAACATATATATGTCTATTTTATATATAAATATCTGTTTCTTCCTTATTAAATAACAAATATTATCATTATTGAGCTTATAATTCTGTCGCCTCTGTGACAATAACGCTTTATTTAGCCATCAAAGTTATTTTAAACTGTACTCGTAAACTCGCGTGTAATACTGCTGCACCCAACGTCGCTCACCCATAAAGACCTTTATTTTCCTCGCGCGGGAAGCAATTATAGGAATGATAATTACCCTTGTTGGTACCCTCGTGTACGAACCATCGACTGGAAAAATCCCATCCGGACTCGGCCGCCGTTTTCAATTCCGAATAATAATTGTCCTTCTCTTCGGCGGTTCGAAAACTTTGGCTCGTCAGATAGTCCTCCCTGATCACCAAATCGCGAGATTAAAAAAAGGATGGAAATGTCAGAATTGACATCGAAAGTGAGAGTAGCATTACTAATTATTAATGGAATTTCCAAAATTAATGCTGATTTCGTGCATCTCGTAAGAGAGTCAGAATCTCTTGTAAATAATTCAACAAACACAAAAAAAATACAAAGCATTGCGCAACGCATTAACGCAACTTACAAACTGACGTAAAGATAATAAACATAAGTATCGTCAAAAATAATATATATTATATCCGCGTATATATACTTTAACTCATTTGCTTCAACTCTAGATCATTTAGTTCTTCTCAAAATCCGCAACGTCATTCACGCTATTACGAAATCGCGGTACTTACTTGTAAGACTCCGGTCGGGGACCTGATGACTCTTCGTAATACCTAGCGAGCGTATAATTGATCCCATTTTTCTCAATATCCACGGTACGGTTGGTCATCCAGAAGTTGAACTCTTTCTCCAGCAACCAGAGATTCTCCTTCAACCAGACGTCGTCATGGGTGATCTTCAGATATTCGTCTACCATAGGTATCAACAGTGGCGGATGCGAGCGCATCGCATAGTAGATTCTACCGCCATTTGGTATGAAACCGATCTTATCCACTATCTTAACGAAATTGTTCAGCATGCCCTTGACGGTGTTGTGCATTTCCGACAACAATAGGCCTTTGATGATCCAGTACGAATCCCAATAATAAAACTCGCGGAATCGTCCACCGGGCACGATCACCGGATGCGGTACGTAGATGATCGAGTAGAGCTGCTCGTTAATCCGCACGTCGTCCCGCATCTTTCTGCCCAACAGTTTCCAGATGTGATTGAGATCGGAGCCGAACTTCCGCAGTTCGTCGTCCTCGATGTTCTGCAGGAACTTGGGAGTGGCCGTCCAGTCGGCCGGGTCCCAGTCCTCGAACTCGTAACCTGGCTGCTCGAATGTGTCATTGATGAACTTCTCCACCTGGTGCTTGTTCGGCGCGTTGTTCACGCTTTTCATGAAGGCCCAGAACGACGCCAACGTCTCGTTTGCCGGCCGTTTCATCTTCATATCAACGAAGTACTTGGAGTCCTTGTATATGCCGGCCATTTGTACCGTGTGCAGCAGATCGCCGTGGCAGTATATCTCACTGGAAAGGCACGGTACATGGCTACTTGACTGCTCGACGAGCACGAGACCCTCTCGATCGCGTACAATTGATCACGACGGTGGTCTCTCTCGCCAGGGCGGGAGTGTTACGTGAATGAAATCGATAGAACGAACTTTGCACCGGAGTAAAAAGAAAGGACAAACGTATGAAGAAATAACGAACGGGACTGTTAATTTATGCGGTGATTTATAGTAGACTTATGGTAACAATAAGATAATAATTATGAATAGCTTTAATGAGGAACATCGTTGACATAAGAGTTCCTGTTATTAATTAATTTCATAAGTATGGTATCAATTAGACGGCTTCCAAATCTCCTTTCACCGCTGTGCAAAGTCAATCCTGCATTAAAGGAAGCTATGTTAAGGTTTCGAACTGTAGTGCAATCCTATAATGACTTTACGAGACACGCTTTTCAACTATTCGCGGTTTTCGCGGTTGGGTCGATATCTGGACCAATGTCTCGACCTCCACTTGAGCCGGAAATATTTTAAAACGCGCAATTTCCAACGAGAATAAAGGAAGTTATAGCCACTGATTGTAAGAAAAAAAAAAAGAGCTGTAGCTTCGAATTGCAAAATAGGATTATCTATTATTGTTTATCCTCATAAACAATGATGACACGTCAATGAAGGTGCAAGCAATATATGTAAAGAAATTTTGTCTGCTTAATAGTAATACAATTCCAATCCAATTATATCGTTTTTTATTTTTTCCTATGAACTAGGCGTTGCAAGTATCTTGATTATTTCCGGGAATATCTTCAGTAGGCCGGGATTAGATCAGAGCTCATAAAAAGAACGTATTCATTCAAACGAGCACGTATTCATGCGGCAACGGTCGTAAATATGAAAATTCTGTCACGATTATTAAAAATTACGAAGCGTAGCGAGTATAAATATCAAAGGTGTACAATAAATTAAATGAAAAACGCTCAAAAGTTTCGCGATATATTTCTTAGAATCAATTCGAATTTTAAAAAAAGATTCTACTGTCGTGAGAGCAACGCAAGCGAGAATATAATACTGTTCTTGTTTGGACTGTTATTTTTCTGCTTGCATTCTTTTCGCTTCCGTTCCTCTCTCTCTCTCGCGTGGATTATTTTTCAGCGATCTCGGACACGCCGGGTTGCGCGATATCGCGCGGATTCGTGAACATCTAGATCAGTCCGGCTACCAGACGAAATCGTGCGACTCCCGCTTTCCTGGATGGCCTTGATGAACGCGATCCCTGCGTGCTCGTTCGTTTCGCGGCTAGAAATGAAATCGATCGTGGTATCTGTGCGTGGAATGGAGGAGATCCCGAGCGTTGTTCGCGTGACGGAATGCGCGAGGCGGCTGGCGATCGGCTCGCGAAATGTGCCGCCTCATTATCATTAATAATACGCGCACTGCAGTCGCGTCTCGCGAACGTTATGAGGGATACGTTACGAGGGATAATGGTTTTCCCATTCGTGGAACCGAACTGATTTCCAGCGAGTCGCCTCTTTATGTATTAACGCGATTACCGCAAAAATCTGATTACTGAAAAAAAAGACTGGTAGTAGCCATCAAATGTTGAGTAAAATAATTTCAATCAAATGTTTGGTTAATACAAAAATGAAAAGTCAAGGCTGTGAGAATAATTACTCTCATTATTCCTTTTTTAATTATTTTTTCGTTTCAATTGGCGTTATTAATTTTACTTGATAACCAAAAAACGATTTTACTTTTCTAAATGATTTTACTTATCTAAATATTTAATAAGGATTACCAAACATAACAATATAATCAATTATTTGGTAATAATTATCAAATATTTAGAAAAGTAAAATTATTTTTTATTATATTAACAGAGCATTTGATTAAAACTTCATTCAACATTTGCTATTATCAGACTTTTTTTTTTACCACAAAAGATGTGTGAAAATTTTCGTGGGGTCTCCGATTTGTGAACATCTGATTATTAATCCGTGATTACGTGCTGGTACGATCCTTTTAACACAAATATAATTATCCACGTGGAATACTGCACGCACGGACGCATCTTTTAATCGAGACACGTCGCATAATATGGGAGTATTTTTAAAAGGAAGGATGTCTATCTTTGCAAAGATCGGATATGTGATCGTCAAGTTATTGTTGTTCCTAAAAAAATATTATTTAAAGGAGTTTTTTCATGTCAAGTTTATTTGTTCTGTTGTCAGATTATCTATGTTAATACATTTTCAAATAGATGGAAACGATGGCGTGGGAATGATAGTGCGATTTTAGCGTTTGCGTAATTTAGCAGTATCCATGATAATTTCGTTTGAATACACGTTCATGCATGCGATAACCGTAATCATTCAGTTTTCATCATTGTCAAGCTGGTTACTAAACCTTATATATCCACAATTATGCGTGATATATTGCTAATTAATAAATATTGCTGATTTCACATAATAATTAATCTAATTTAAATTGTTAGCTCTTCTATATTTATTATTCTCAAATAATATATCGATCGCAATGCAGACAAGCATTATTTTTTACATAAACTGGGCGTAAAAAATTATCATGGAAAATGGCAATAATTATCGCGAACAGATTCGAACAGTCGTGTCAAATGCAGCGGGTCATGAGATGCCAGCGATAAACCGTTTTAATTACACATTGATTCAATTAATGCTACATGCTATTGCATTAGAAGATCTGCATTTGATATATTGTACACATTTCGTTAATCTCCCGAATATAAATCTTCACGCATAATATTTACGTATAAAAAAAAAAACAAAGTCGAATTAGATCTTTCTACAAAAATCCGGTGCTCTTAAGCTCGTTTCTACCAATGTAGATTAATTCAACCTCAGTTCAACTAACTTTTCATCTTTTTCTAATTCTAAGAATATTACGAAAAGATGAAGAGTAAGTTGAACTGAGATTAATATACATTGGTAGAAACGGGCATTAGAACTGAAATGTCATTGTAGTCTCGGCCAAGAAGTGATCGCGCCACTTTATTAAGACGTCATTCGAAAGATCTCCGGAAGATTCAATTTACTAAACTCTAAGCGTGTTCGGTGTGCCGCCTCTCATATCCTTTACATCGTCACGTTATCCTACACGTCGTCATCATAATCAAGGATAGCTCAAATCGAGATATGCGCGTCTCGGTGAAAAAGACAGGAATGTGTCTCGACGGAGATCAGTTAATCGTTGTCGCGATCAAATGTGCGCCCATTATCGGATATACCCGATGTACGTTATCTCGGAGACGTGATTCGGATCTGCCTATGTCGCGACACACTTATATTCGATAAACATGTTTTCATCGTGTGATGCGTAAGATATTATACGAGAAGTGCTTGTCTTTTTGAAAAACATTACCGAATTTTGCGTCCGTAAATTAGCAGATAATTCCATATCCTGTCATTATCGGCAAATTGTGCTATCGTGATCCTTGAGCACTTTAAGGAAAAAGTCATTACGTCTTTTTAAAGCAATTTTACCAAGAAATAAGTATTACATATATATTTTTTTCATTGGACGATTTTTCTCTGCATTGCGGAAAATAGTACGTAGAACTTGTCGAAATGGCGCACCGCCAAAATTTACGAGATTGCATACGAAAATGTTTAATATCTCTAGAAATCTCGATATGAGATAAATGCTCATGACTTAATTGACATTTTGCCCAGAATACCTTCTAAATTTGTGCCAGTTGAATCGGTTATTATAAACTTCATGTTACGTAACACACACACACAATAAAATTCGAAATTTTTATAATAGATGTTCAATGTCGAGTACGAATATCGAAGGATATAGTAAATTTCCTCTGTTTGAGTATGCAGAATTATGAGGAACACGATACACAATCACTGCTTTATCTAACATTATGTTAACAAGTCGATACCCTTCATTGCTCGCTTTGTTTAAGAACCGTGACGTATCTGCAAAAAGCAAAACAGTTTCGCAATTACGACAACCTGATTCTGTATCATATCAATTCCGAGTAATCGTCTGGTTAAAAATACCTTATATATCGTGTGTAAAATATTTTTAGAGTATGTGCCGTGTGTGTGTGTGTGTGTGTGTGTGTGTGTGTGTGTGACTTCAACAATGTTTTTCCATTTAAACAAGCATAACAATAATCCTCGATGTGCATCAGCCGCATTTCTCGCGGGATCTCGGCGGGCAGAGAACGAACGCCAAATCTTTAGATAGAGATGCTGACGGCGCGTCATCGATCATACGAGTGAAAAGTTTCCGTTGCAATTCGACGCACACCATTAGCATGTGCACACACACACATGCAGACACTGTAAAGGTCACGCTCATTGTGCTTGCGGAACACGATAATTTAGAGCCCAACTTGTCACGCGTCTGATTCCGGGACGAGGTTCATTGCTAAGGTCATTTCCCTAAATGCTCGCGCCACGCGTGCCTACTAATGCAATATCGCATATGTAATCCCATCGGTTTAAAGCGACACAGATTCCTTAGTGCGTCAGAGGTACGATTATACTGTATAATGACACTTTACAAGGAAGAGGAAAGTATAAAATTTGAGAAGCGGCACACGTACTCGAATCTAATAAGGAAAATATTGCTCCCTCCAAAGTCGTTGTTTATAGATTTCATAACATTAATGTTTATAGATTTCGTTAATTTTCCGTGATGCATGAAATTATTATTTTCGTCCACAATTTTTTTGAATTTAATGCAAATTTTTGTATTGTTCCAAAATATGTGTAAAAATCTGAAAAAGTTCTTACGTACTTCTGAAAATTTTAATACAAATGACGAATTTTTATTATATATAGAAACTGGATTGTATTTTATTTATTTTTTACAAATTTAAATTTATCTATCAGAATTCACAACCAAAAAATCGATTGTACCTTCAAAATCAAAAAATCTAATATTGATGTCAAAAGGTTGATTTTCTCAATTTAATAATTTATTTCCCAATTATAATAATTAAAAAACTTTTATATTTTATTTAACATTGAAATGAAATAACGATAAAGAAGAGATACATGCAAAAGAAAAAAACAGCACATTGATCTAATTTTAGAAAAACGGACTATTTTTCTACGTATTTTCAGCATGTGATTCGCGTCTATGTAAAAATAAAATAGGAATCACTTGGGCAAAGTCCCAAATAACAAAAACACGATGCTACGAACTTCATTTGTAAGTCATGAAGTGTTAGAAAAATGACATAATTTAAATAAGTTAATAACATCGCCGAAAAAAATACATCTTACAAAGAAGTTGTACAACAAAAATGATCTTAAAAATTTCAAATATAAATAATATTATATAAAATGAAAATTGAGAATTTTATTGCAAATGAGCGATTTTATTGCAAACAAAATTGTGTTTGCAAATCCATCGAGAAATTTTACATATGACACGACTATTTTTTATCGCATATACAACGTATCTTGTTGTCGACATGATATCATATGAAGTGACATTTCCTCGAGATGTCTGATACCTAAGATTGGTCAGCTGTCGGAATTTATTCGTTTAATGTCGTAGTTTTCTGATAACTAGCGAATATATTTAAATGAATTTAAAATTTTGAATTTTAGGATTCTGTAATTTATACAATCTATTTGTTAAAAAAACACTCGTACAAATATATTCTATTTTCGAAAAAATCCATTTTTGAACTTATTAAATTTTTTTTTTGAGAAAATTGAGAGTTGTGATGATATTGTTGCTGGCAATCTACTAATATTCTACTTTGTATCTTTCTATACATAATAAACTTCGGCAATTACATAAATTTTCGTTATAATCTCTACTTCTAATTACAATAAAATAATTTTAAATCAAATGCAGGTCGTCCCGTTAAAAATAAGGTGCGACAGCTACAAATATTTTTATACGCGGCAAACAATTCTAATACGTAGTAACACATTTTATGTTGTTTTAAATTTAAAAAATATATTTAAGTAAGTATTGTTGATGGTAAAAACAATTAGCTAAATGATAAGCAATTCTTGTTTTTTTTTTACGTAATAGTCTGTAGTTTTAAATGCACTTATAGAAAATGCGATAATATCTAAGTCCTAACTAATTTAGTCCGACGTCATTTTGTAATTCTATCTTCGCAAACGATGATCAATAATGATTAGTAAGATACGTGTACGATAATTAGAATATAAAATTTTATACTATTATATCTCTAACATATCAGTTACGTATAAGTCAGTGGCGTAAAGCACTCGAATTCAAGTGTTTAACTATGATAGAATCTACGTAAATTCACACTGAATGACAAAGCAGTTTTAGAAAAATTTCAAATGTTTTATTCAAGATTTTTTTTTTCTTCGAAATGTCTTCACCCACTTTAATTAAGAATATTTATGGATTAAATTAACGTGACATATTTATGAAGACAAGTAATGAAGAATTTAAAAAATATTCTCAATCGCCGATAGCTTTAAATTATATAAGCAATAAGAAAATGTGACTTGACCGCAGTTTATCGCAGTTTCGAAGGCCAGTGGCAGCAGTATCGGTTTCTAACGTCATTTAAGCAATTATCTGTTAAGGTGTCATTTCATCACAATGACACGTGGGCAAAAAAAAAAAAGAGTGCGAGTTCGAATCGAGTTCTTAGGATGGATCGAGTGTAGAATGAATTTCATTTGGTTGGTTCTCTGAGACACTTACCTTGAGCACGGGGGCGGTTTCGTCGTGCCCGTGTTATCCGCGATAGAAGTGCTCGGAAGAACGACGAGGAACATGAAGAGCGCAGCATGCACCAGAGGACGAAACATCAAAACGGAGCATGTCGGGACCATGGCCATTTTTTTCGCTCTCTCGGTTTCGTACTACTATACGTGCGTGCGTGTACGATCTACCTTTTCTTTCTTTCTTTCTTTTTTTCCTTTCTGTTTGTTACTGTCGTGTATGTTCGGCCGAATATATCGCGATCCGGTTTTACGTTACACAAGCACGCGCGGAGAAGCACGAGCGCATCACTCTTTCTCTTGAGGTTTTACGGGAAAATGACGCGAATGAAAACGAGAAAAAAAAAACCAACAACGCGTGTACCGAAAGCCAGATTTTAACGGTCTCTCTCTCCGACTTTCCCTCCTTGCTTTCTATCGAAAGAACCGAAAAGCCGTCTCCTCGACGTTACGACGATATGCGCATTTACTTTTTTTTTTAAACTTTTCTCTCGCTTTTCCTTCTCTCTCCTCCTCTTTCACTCTTGATCTAGTGATTCTGCTTTCTTCGCTAAACGTTTCTCCCCCGTTTTGTTCCTTTGTTGTTCGATTTTTTCCGTTTCTTTAATTTTTTTCGTTTTTTTTTTTTGCTTAGACCCGGCTAGATTCGACAGTGTCTCTCGTGCTTCACTCTTTCGAACGAGGGATACGAGGGTGATGGAGTGCGCGGATGATGATCCTGACGCGAGTGATCCTTACTTTTTCGTGATCGATTTCGGATGCGGGCCCACGAATTTTCGCAGCCGACGGGACGGTCTCAGCTCCAACAGCGAGGCCGCATCTCCTCTGCAACATGAAATGCAAAAACAGATATTAGACGTAGAAGTTACGCGCGAGAGGAATTTTCGCTACCAGATAATATCGCAATCACATACTTATGTCATTAACATTCTAATATCTTTCTTCGTAGAAGAGATTTCTTGCGGCGATGTACGATAAGACGATCGATAAAGAAGTTTTACGATGTGCATCGTGTGTTTCATATATACATTCGTGAAAATGAATCAAAATACTGGAATAATAAACGATGTTCTCAGAAATTAGAGAGAAACGTAGTACGTTCCTTGCAATACGCGCATAGATAACTGCTCGGTTCTTGCTGCGTTTTCACATCAAGGAAATATAAAGTCGTTCGATATAGCGATATGTAATAGGTTTAATATCAGAACCAGTAAATCGATCGCCCTACTCTCATTAGCTAATTGCACTCAGCGCGATATGAATTATGTGCCGAGTTGTGATTTATCAGTCATGTTAAAACAATTGGATATGCATTATCGATAAATATGCCGTCCACAACGATTCTGAGAATCTACTGCAATGAATAACTCGCGAATAATTCGATGAATTCGTGAGAAGTTGATTACCCTGCAATTTAACAAATAAAATAAAAAGAAAGAAAATGAGGCTTTTATATATCTTTACAGCCGTCAATTTTACTGCGATAAGGTTTCCGTCATTTTTCGCGAACGAAGTTGACCTCGACGAGAAACCTTGAATATCTCGAAACATTTCTCGGAGTATTAATTAAAAATAAAAATATACTTGGGTTCTACAAATTAATATATCACGTAATTAATTAATTGTAATTAATTAAATGTACGATAAAGATCTAACTACTTTGAGAAAATTAATCTGGAATTTGAATTATCTAATTATTATATATTAATAAAATTTAATAATAATGTATATTCAATTTATTAATTAGTAATAATTTATTTATGTTATAATATATGTTATATGTGTTGTTAAAATTTAATAATTTAGTTCTAAAAAAATTTATCATAATATATTCATTTAATTTAAATAGATAACAAACGTTAAAATGTTAAATAAGTAAGATAAAAACTATAAGATAAGGCTGTGAAATTTGAAATTATATGAAGTTGCGAAATTCTGACCGAAAGTCTCAAGACGCGTTTTATTTTCTGCATGATCACTCGCCATTGAAACGTGTGTACAGCGACATGGTCGTTAAGTTTATCAATACCGGTCACCAAATTGACATCACTCGCGCTTATTTCCGTCCCTAAATGGCACTGGCTACATTTAGCCACGGAGTAACATACGAGTGCTATACGTGTCACCTGCTTGTTCTCGGTACAAATCAAGAAGGCAGATAAAGTTGATATTAAATAACGGCCAACAATTATTATCGAATGATTGATATCACGTCATTGCAATTTAAAATCTCTCTCTCTCTCTCTCTCTCTCTCTCTCTCTCTCTCTCTCTCTCTCTTTCTTATCTTGCGATCAAATGTCCAATTTAAAAATGTAGAAGTGAAGATGCAAATACAATCAAAGTCTTATCATAAAATTCTACCTTGCAATTTATGCGACACGTATATCGCAGAAACATAATCATATCTTTCTGCGATATTTACTGTTACTATACATGCTCTTTCTTCTAAAAGGTTAATAAATATAAAACATATATTTTTGAGTTGATAACATGTGCTTTAGAAGGTTAATAAGTATGTTACAAAGATAGAAAAGACAACTGCGTTTCCGAATATACGAAGCGCAATAAAGTATCGTAGTCAATTATTTGATTGATGATTCAACGGTATGGAATCGCAAATTAACAGCAATACGTTTCATCACTGCACGTTTTATACAGCATCCTCCCGTGCCGTAATCCATCACAATCTCACAGGAAAATTCTACAAGATTACAATAAACAAGAGCATAATACAATTATAGTAATTGCGTATGTTCAATCCCCGCTTTAACCTCATGTATTCGTGGTTCTCAGAACAAAAATGATAAAAATACAATGAATCAATAATTACGATTATTGCTGTAATTAGAGTATATCTCCTGTCACGACGCGCGATGCGCGCGTAACTACTTACGGGAAGCACGCAAGTCAACCTTCGCGTGTCTTTCCAATCTCCCAGCGAGACGAGACAGTCGTAACATAGGCACCGTTGAGTTAAAAGGTTTTCCTTCAGCCCGCGTGATCGCTCCGCTCCTGATCGCGCGCCAGCTCGTCGCGCATAAAATTATCCCTCAAGAGCGTAATGGCAACGGGATCTCGTGCCTGGTCTAATTGTAGCCACCGATGCTGGACGATGAAACCTCCGACATACGTAGGATGGAACTGAGGGAAGAGGAACCGGGAAGCAGAGAAGAAACGACAGAAGAAGAAGAAGAAGAAGAGGAAGAGCGAAAGAGGAAGGAAGGGAAGGGACACGCCGACAATGCACACTAGCCTCTTTCTCTCTCTCTCTCTCTTTCTCTTTCTTGCCGATGGGAATCCGACGATGCCTCAGCTCCAGCAATGCACACAGTGCAACGTGCGTCGTGCGACTGATTCGCGCGTCCCACGCGGCTCGCCTTTTAAACGGCATTACGTCACGCCGTGTACAAGTCGAGCCTCCGACAGCGCAATCATCGATTGGACCGCAGCGCCGTGACAGCCTTGTCGATTGGTCGACGTGAGACACACACCCCGCGCCGGATTCAAATTTCAAATGCGTTCGCGAAACACGGAGCCGAGAGAGATCCGGATCCAGGAGAGACTGCTGCGCTGCTGTGGCTGCTGCTGCTGTTGCTGCTGTTGCTGACGCGCGTTTCGGAGAACGAAAACAGATCCGTTGCGTGCAGACGGACGCTCGGATGACAATGACCGAGGACTGAATCGCGACTATCGTAGACGTGTAAGCGAAATTTTTCGGATGCGCATTTTCGACGGTCATGAGAGATGAGCGTCTGGGACTTGCTGGGAAGAAGATAGAAGGGATTTAAGTTTAGATATCCGAGCGTGAAATCTTAGATATCATTTTTGACATGTATCACGTTTCGCGATAAATTTAAGGCTAGTATTCATATATAGTCAGTTCTTATATTTAAGATTAACCGTCCTAAGTACAGTAATAAAATTTCATAATCCCATTACAAGCCGGTATTTACAGTCGGTCCTTGTTTCAATATTGTTTTAAGATAGTCTTAAATATAAGATCCGGTTATAAATACCGGAGCCACAGAATCGTATTGGCATCTCAAGATTTTACTTTAGATGATCTTGTAATAAGAACGGACGAATACCGACCTAAGAATTAAAATTGCAGCATCTCTCGCAATCGTCCCCGTTGACATTCATAAGTTCAAATTATTTTTGATACCCCAAGTAAAATTGTATGAAGGATATTATTAGAACTTTCTTAGGAAAATGTCAAGATATGAAAAAAACACATACGTAAACGTTAACCGAGCTCTGACGTCTAAATTTGTAATTTCTCTATTGGTATCTATGACGTCGATCGCTGGCGCAAATGGTGAAAGTATCGCAGAATCGTACGAAATTGTTGAGAACTGTATAATTGACGGAAGTGACGTTTAAATACAGTATATGTGTTTAAGGAACTGTTCTACTTAGCTGTAGAAAAAAATTACAGCAATCGGAGAATCTTTTTCCTTTCTCTCGGAGTCCATAAATTCGCTCGATACGGAACAAAGTATAAATTCGCGAAAGGCTATGGACAAAGACTGTACTGCCAGTACTGAAAATATAATTCACGTTACGTATACTATAGATTCAATATTGGCAATGTATATCGGAACACGGCCAAAACGATCATTCGTTTCGTGCAGGTAAAAAGTAGGCCGTTTGCCACGGTTCATTGACAGTAAGCGAAAATATACTTCAAGGTTACATCGACTATATACCGAAAGAAAGATAATTAATTATAACAGTAAAACATACAATCGCGACATAAACTATTGAATTGTCATGAATACATCATCATTCGCCGTAGTCGATAATATTGTATGTTAATCTTTTCGCCACCGTATTATTTATTCGCGCGACGCGATAATAATCGTATCGACGTAAATCGTGACAGTCAAATGGAAGAAATGTACATAACTCACCTATTATTGCGCAATCAATGTTATATAATCCTTTTTATAATACTTTGAATCATCACATGAGCTTTCCTCTCACGTTTCTTGTAGATAAATAGGTCGCTAGTTACAGTATTTTAAACGATGATGAATACGTATACACATTTGCTTGACATTTGTTTAATTGTTCACCGTAAAATATAAATTGTCTGAGGGACAAAGGATGAAGCAACTGTGTGAATATTACTCATTGGCGGATAATTGCGCCCTCGTTAACAAAATAGGACATACTGTGATTAGACTTGCACTTCACCTATTTTCGGTTCGATCATCCGCTTTAATCTCGATATCTTATCTTATGCGTGTGTACAATTTCTATGACAGAAAATTGGCACGTTCTTTTTACTACCACCATATATTCTCGCAATGTCGAAACAATTTTGGATCAAGAATCGCGCCGCTTTATGTAATCGCGGTCTTCCTTTTCTGCACCTTCAAGACAATTCAGATATCCGACTTGCAAATTTCATGATGTATCATTTTAACTTTGTTCTTTAGCGAATTAAGCAAAAATAAAATGATACATCATGCGTATCGTACGCTTTATAGAATGTAGTCAGATTCAGTTCGGCTTGATTTTACACATTCAAATTTTCCATTGACCGATCATAATTTAATAAGTTACAGATCATTACGCGGTGCAATGACTTGGTCCCAGTTGCAACATGTAACATTACTTTTCGTTGCATCATGCATTTGGACTGCGAACTAACATGACAACTAAAATATAATTGCAGTTACTTATCTCCTTGATGCGATGAGTCTGATTATTTTCATGCAATTAAAACTTTACTTACAACGATATTGCGATTAAATCGCAACTATCATTCTTTTTAATTTGCAACTTTTATAATTTGTTACTTCCACGTATAATAAGAAGAATACCCAGCGTAATGAATGTAATTAATATTTAATTCTTTTATCGAGTGCGATTGGCATAACAAGAACAATTATGATAATTAATCTGTTTGACAATTAATCTGTTGCTGTCTTAATGTATGTATTCTTTATATTAAAGCGTTTAAAAGCACTTTATTATCTACGGTTTATAGGTACAATTATTTCTGCTCGTATTTGCAAGTCTTTAGAAGTAATTAACGCATTGTCACGCGTCTTCCCATAACGAATTTGTGCTTGTGAAAGAACTTATTCCTTATTAACGAGGTTAACCCTTATTAACGGTATTCGCTACTCGACGAGCTGAATCTGCTTTTCGAGGAAAAACCGAACACGCGATACTCTTAAACAATTAACCGACTTAACCTCGTCTTAACTACTGTTCGGCGAAGCGTAGAGGAGATTAATTGCCGTGGGTATGAACTTTCTTTTAATACTTTCCCTCGGCGAACCTTGTCGAGCGCGATCGTGACGTTTCTTACACGTGTAACATTCCGTTTTAATCGAATTGCGCAAACGTAAAAATTGCAAAATCGATTCCTGGTATACTTTCCTCTTACTTATCGTCGCAAATTAGAGTCATTTTTGCGGGCTAAGTAAGAGGAGAATTTCACAGACGCCGCACGCAAAACTTCCAATTCAGTCCATGGCAAAACCAATTATAAAAAGTTGGCGATCGTATTTTTAAAATATCACAAAAAATGAGTATCTCAATAATAATTATACATAACTAGAAATAGGAAATCTAAATGGTAGCTGCATACGCATTAAGTATATTTTTGCAATTTAATAAGAATTAAAATATCCAAAAAATTAGAAATCCTTATTAGTTCCACAATGTGAAATTAAATATACGTAAATATTAAGAGGTAATATTCGGACTTGAAAGTGTCGGAACTAACATTCTATGTGAGATATCGGGTTGATAACGTTGGTCTTAATCTTATCATTAAGAAAATACATTAAGCATCGAAAGCGAATTCATTTGCGAAATTAGATTCACATTGAAGATAATTTACGGTTTGAAAACAAAAGAAATCCGCGATCGCTCTGTCGAGAGCAACTTCCTATTTATGAATGCAAGGTGCAAACCTTACGAGCCGTCATATAATAAATTATACCTCAACACCTTGAATGAGTAATGCAGAAAAAAATAGGGATTTCAAGCAGCTGAGCGAAATGTATGAACGTAACATAAAAGATACCAACGGTGAAATCACTGTAACTTCCATTGCAATTCAATCGTTCTCGTTTACGAGGGTTATTAAATTCCAATCGTTGAAATCTTTTTCCTCTTGTTTGAAGGCGACTCAAACGGTAGGAGGCGCAAGATTCGAACACGGAGGCAGCCAAAGGTGGCACGAGATATTGAGTTACGGCGCCTTCGCACTTACAATTAATCGCGACACGCCGCGGTCGAGTGGACATCGTTTTAGCGACAATCATTCTATTGGCTATTTTTAGCCGGAAATAGGTCGGTGCGCGGAGGGTTGGATGGCAATAAGAGGCCATGCTCAATAGTTTCTGCTGGCGGGTATCGTCGCCACGAGGCTCGAATCAATCATCCTCATGGATGCCTTTTTGTAATCTAGTCTTTATATTTCGCGATTAGAATCTTTAGCCCACGCAGCGTTAATGACATATCTCTTTATGTCTTACAAAAAAAAATATGAAGAAAATACCGCGCAAAATTGCTGCAACGGCGAGTTGATGGGACTCTGCAGTTTCCGAATCGCATCAATCTGTCGCAGCAATTACTGCAAACGATGTTTTTTCAGTGATTCATGACTGAAAAACGTCGCTGACAGAATATAAAGTATCGCTGGATATGCGAAGAAACTGCTAATTTAGATGTCACGATAAGTTTTGATATAAAGATTGTTCCAGATATGCTTGTCGTACAGAAAAGGATTAAAATACATATAATTATTAAATATTCATAATTATATACTAAATTTATATCCAATGTGATATCTCGGAGAGAATCGGTAAGTAAAACTGTAATCACATTACACTAAAAAAAAAACATTTTTAAGAAATATTTGTGTGAATAATTTTCAGTAAATATTTACTAAATATAAACATATATTTATTTGATACAAAAACCATTAAACCATTTGATTTATCTTTTTTTTTTATTAAGTAAATATTAAATAAATTTTTTTAAGTAAATATTTATTTACTGTAAGTAAATGTTTACTTACAGTTACAGTATTATTTAAAGAAATATGTATTAAGATCTAATAAATTTTTTTCCAGTGTAGCGAAGTTGCCGATCGAATTGTGAGTGGTCGAAAAGTAATTATCAATTACAATCGTAATCCAATCGGCAATTCCTAATGCGATTACGATTTTAAGGCGATTAAATATTAATAGAAGATCAGAATAATTACGAGAATTATAATGGAGCAATCATATAGAATAGTATGCTAAATACAGCTAGATAATTCAAAGGATCCTAAATTCGAATCTCGATCGGTTCGTTAATGTTTCCATATCCGTCCTATAATATCAACAATCTTATGATTGTTTCGCTCCAATGAATTACAAAATCTCGCTCGCAATACACCAGCTTCCATCAATTAGTTACGACCTTGTAATTTATTGGAAGTGTAGGATCATGGGAATGTTAAATGCCTTGTTCTTTGTTAGATCTATCTAATATCTTACATAGAGTACAGAGAAAATAAGACAAGCGGAAAGATTTGCCATTATGATCAAAGAAGCTGAAGAAGTAAATGAAACACTTAGCTCTTCAATATCAGAACGATAAAGTTTATAAAAAATCTAATAAAGATATATCCACGAGATATAGAGATAGGTATGTTTAAGTTCGCCGATTAATATGGACCGATTAACGATGACGATTAATGGATGTTCTCGCGTATGATAAATATATTTGAATGTGATGAGCTAGAATCGTCGGTGTTTATGCTTATGTGACGAGTTGTGCATCCCGTACTTATCTCTTTCCGGGAAACCCTCTCTTCTTTTTTTTCGTCGAGACTCTTCATCCACTAACTTCTGACAGAATCAGCATTGATAAATTTCTATCATATCTATTACACATAAAACTGATGTGCCAAATATTATACCAAGTTTTTTTTTTGGAATAATCAGCATTAATAAATTTCTATTATATCTATTCTATTATTTCTATCATATCTATTTCTTTTTATATATAAATTTCATATGCAAAAAATTATATTATAGTTCAAAATCCTTAAAAAAATATTCTACATTTTAAAATAAAAAATTTTAATCTTTCTTTTTACTTAAAATTAATAATCATCAATAACCAAATAAATAGTTGGCTATACTACATATTAATTATAATTATAATCAGATGCAATAATAATTAAAATTATTAATTTTTTTTAAGTATATATATTAACTTATTATTGCGTGTCTTTAATTTTTACATTCAATGTATTGAAATTAATATGCTCAAATAGAGTGTATTTCCATTGCAAAAAATTGACAAAGAATCGCAGGTGTGCGATGCAACAATTTAAGCTTGTGTCACTAAGTACAAGAATGAATAACATCTATCACGCTCATCAATTAACACATACACACATCTAGGATTACGTAAAACTCCTATTTATTTTCATCGCACATCCAAAGGATGTTTCTATGCAGAATTGTATGGAGCGAACTACGTTTTGTCTTTCTATTTTTCCCAAAGTGATCAATCATCCCTAGTCATAGATTATTACGAGAATAATTAAAATATCGTTAAATATGTATGGCCTGCACTCGTTTTATGTAAGCTTAATTTAAAAATGCACAAAGAAAAATGATTTTGCTATGAATACAAAGAGACATTTAAATGTTAAATTTTTTTGATTTTGTTGTTTGTAGCAAATTTGCATATTTAACAAATATTTTATATTTGTTGCAAATAATTTTTGTAGTGAGTATAAAAAAGAATAAATATTTATTATACCTATAAATAATTTACAATCCTTATATTTGCAAATAAAATTGGCCGGCATGACATAGGATTAATAGCAAATTTTTTCTTTCCGTGTATAAAAACCTATTTTCGAG